GGCTCGGATTCTGGTGCACGTCCAGATGAGGCTGTTTCATGGGGCAAAATACGTGCCGGGGCGGAAACTGTCAAGGTACTTCCTACCATCCTTGTCGGCGAGCGGCAGAGTCTTGATGATTCTATGCTAGGTTTTCGCAGACGCAACTTTGGTCTTTCCTCTCCTCGTCGCAGCGACATTTGCGCAGGACCGCCCGAGATAGCAGCCTAGTATACGGTAGCGAGGAAAACAGAAAGATACCCCACACATTGCATAATGGAGAATGTAGTCCCACTGTATTCTGTGCCAATATCTGTCAAACGCGGGCGAAGGAAGCAAGGACACGAAGGGTAGTTAGCTGGTCTACGCCAGAAAAAATGGCAAAAGATGATTTTGACCACCGCAGGGCTCGAACCCGCAATCTCCTGATTCGTAGTCAGACGCGATGCCATTTCGCCAGGCGGCCATGATATTCAGGGATTGTGATGTGTCTTGACAGTTCTGCGCAGCCGTCCACATCTTGCTACTCGGACTTAAATCCGTACCTTACTGTCGCCCACCAACATGGTTGACGATACTTTGTCGCAGTTACTTCTCGCTGGTGGATTTCTGACTGGGAACCCCTCCGGCCAGAAGACCGATTTGAAGCATGTCCTGGCTTCCCGATTGAATCAGTGTCGTTCAAGTCTTCACCTCCCTGAAGTCGATTATGGCTCCATGACTTTGGAAGATGTGCAATTGGAGACCGCCAAGGAGGCATTGACCCTCCTGGAACGTCTGCAGCACCTTCTTACCGAGGGTCTGGCCGATGAGCACTCGCATTCACAGGGGGGTAAATCCACCACTGACGATGAAACGTCCTCCCTCGGTGCGCGCGATCTATCTCAAATACGAACCCTTTTCTCCATCGTCTTCAAATGGGGAGTAGATGCGTTACTCAGCAAGGTTGCGCCAGTTTGGTCAACCAAGCCTTCAACGCGAGTCCCGAAAATCATCGACCTCACCGCCACCCCGCAGGATTACGGGTCGCTCTCTGCAATGGCGACTCAAGTTATGGCCCTACTATTCCCCAGTGGCATCAGCGGCGCTCTTTCTCAGACTTACATTAGTGTAACCCTATTGAACCATCACACTTCGGAGCTTCTCCTTGTATGTCTAACCCTGGGTTGGCTTCCCAGAGCTTTATCTTCCGAGGTCACCCCCACCTTAGACGGTATAAGGCCTCTGACCATGCGGATCCTCAATACGTATGTCTACTTCGTTGGTTCACCTTCGATTGGCTTACAATCTATTTTCCCCAAGTCTTCCCCCGGACGAGGTCATCTCGACTCTAGGCGCAGTCCTCTCAACGAAACCTACGCCTCCCCCTCACGTTCGAAAAACTTGCTCACTCTTCCTCGGTCGCCAGCTCATGCGACCGGAAGGAGTGAAGGGTCTGTTTTCCGCTCTTTTCAGTGCAGAGGTATTATCGGAGAGCGATGCCCCGTTGGAAAAGCTTGAACATGCGTCACGAGTCCTCTGCGCTCCTCCTGCTGGCGTCAAACCGGAGGTAGGACTAGTAAACTTGAAAACTCAACCTTATACTGACCTGGAATCACCTCCAAGGACTACTTTCAACAAATCGTTCCTCGGATCATCGATGTACTCTCACCTCGCAATGGGTCGAGCCCAAGTTCCTACATCAGAGCTGCCGCATTCTGCTTGTCTCGTATGATCTCTCCTAGTCGGGACTTCCCGTATTTCGTCCTGGTATCTCAGCTATCCTTTCAAATTTTGCACGGGCCGTTTCTGGATACTCCCGCGGAAGGTTTGCAATCGGATCCCGATGACTCTCAACCGCGGCTGACACCAGCAGATGCGCTTTCGACTTTGGTCGTCCTCATAACGAATACAGATCCCTCGCCAACGCTCATCTCATCCATTCTCGGACCTATCGTCCCTTCTTTGTACGCATTACTCGATCATCTGGAGGGAAGGAAAACCTCTGATCCGGAAGTAAAAGAATCGATCAGAGGTTTATTGACAACGTGGGGGAGAGTCGTGAGCAACGCAGAAATCGTCGACGGATTCTGGTCCATCATCCTCGGTGAAGGTGGACATTGGAGTGTTGATGTGGCGGGAGGTGTGCAGAGGGTCGCATCGTGGGTTATGCTCGTCCCAAGACGAGGCTATCCGTAGCTAACCTCACTGTTTGTAGGATTGAACAACCATCAAATTTGGCCCTTTTCACTCCAGAAGATATCCAGCGTGCTGAGGATGACGGAGAACTTGACATTGATGCGAATATCTTCAATCTCTATCCAGATCCAGGCCGTTTTACTCGGCTGTTGAGCTTGTTGGACCGGGGCGAAGCAGCTTCGGAAATATTTACCAGGTTGTTGGATCGATATCGTGAACTGAAGACGGCGAAAGATAAGGATCCCATGCAGTAAGTCATCCCCTCATTACGTATACCAACTCGTTGAAGGCAACCTAGGACTCTCCTTTACCTCCAGCTCATCCTTCAGATGCAGTCACATCTTTCGTCTGGCATCTCATCAAATATACTTGGAAAACCTGAGCAGGCTCTACCCTTCGTGAAACATGCGCTGGAGACAGCAGTTCTCACCACAGCCGCGCCTCAAGCCACAAATCGACAGAGGGTTGGGCTGAGAATGGAAGATTTGCGAATAGTTGCAGAAATGGATGATCAAGCCGATGATAGTGATGATGAAGAGACCGGGTCTGGCGCACCTCTTCAGGATGACGAAATGACCGTGACTGCTTTGAATCTCCTTTTGGCGATTCTGGAGAGTAGGTGTTGTGTCGTATGCCTGTGGGAGAGGTGCTGATACCCGTAGCAGCCAGCCCTAGCTTATCGGCGCGGTCGGCCCCCATCTTGAACGAGATTTTCTCCCTTCTAGAATCTGTCACTCATTCCGAGTCAGAGACTATTCGACCTTTGGCGAGGGAAGCTCGGATGGTTATGACCGTTCGATTAGCTTCCACGTCCACTGCGCAAGATTCGCGACGCACATCAGGAACCTCCGAGGAAGAAGATGCTCGAGGTACCTATCAGAAAGCCCTAAAACTTTTACAGGATCCTATCCTTCCTGTTCGCGCCCATGGTCTTCTGCTGCTGCGCCAACTGGTATCTCGACCGTCGCCTAACCAGCCTGCCGCGGTTACTTCTACGACAAACTCTGCCCTCCTGCCAGCTATCCTGGACATTTTCCTCCAGTCGGCGCAGGACGACGATTCATACATATTTTTGAATGCTGTACAGGGCCTCTCCGCCATGGTGGAAGGGTTTGGCAAGGACGTGTTACGCGGTCTCATCGACGTATATGCAAAAGGTTCGGGGGATGGTCCCACCAATCCCTTGTCCCAGTCGGAGCTCGACACTCGCCTTCGGGTCGGTGAAGCGCTGGAGCAGGTGATAAGACGCTGTGGAGATGCCCTCCCCGACTATGGTATGTAAGCTTCCTATCTTTAGTGATGCCGACCTGTTCACCGGCTTGTTCCAGGGGGCATCTTGGTTCCCGCACTCTTTCAAGTTTTCCGTGCTAGATCATTGCCTACGACATTGCAAACATCTGCGCTCTCACTTCTGGGTCAGTGTGCAAAGACGAGCGTCCTGGCGTTACTGCCCTTCGCCTCCGACCTGTGTAGTGGTGTGATTGACCTCCTGCAGCTGGAAAATGTCCCCATGGCGCCTCCTGCAAAGTCAGCGGACGAAGAATCGGGGTCGAGTGGCCCTTCATCTATGGATGCACAGCCTACGAGCACTTATTCCAAGTTTCCGCCATTCAGGCGAGCAGCTCTTCATTTCTTCACCTTGTTTCTCCGTGCTTGTTCGACACAGTTATCAGACTCCGGTAACCAGTATATCGCCTTCCCTCGAGCTTTGGTTCAACGAGCAAAGGTCACTCTTGGGTATGTTGCAGCTAGCGACCAAGATGATGTTGTGCGGGTCATGGCTAGGGAAGCGAACGAAGATCTAGGCGACTTAGAAAGGCTGATAGTGGGGTTATGAGCCTGACCTGAAGGCGCTTTTGTTTACCGCATAAACATGTACACCCCGTATCTGTCTCGAATGTAGCGAACTTGAGCCAACCGAGTCAATAATAAGGTGGGTCAATCTAGGTTCAGGAATGGGTATTCCTATGCGGAGTCCCAGATCATTTGAAAGCGGTAGCGTATGATCTGCGACAGCCGTAGGACCATGAGTGGGCATCGGGATTGAGCGAATGGCCAGAGCATCCAACAAGGTTTAGGCTTGAGAGGTAGGTACAACGACTCCAACGGCCCTAGCTACTTCGTCCACGCGCTGCCTAAACGATCGCCATTTGGGACTACCAGCGAGAAGGAGACATGCACCATCGCTGGTCGAATCAGAAGGAGAGTGCAGCTTCAGAAAGGGATTCGATACGGAATGGTAATAAACCATATGAAGCGCCTTGAAAACCTGAAAGGAGGTCGGTGATCATTGAAGAACGAGGAGTATAGACAACTCACAGTGGTCATCTCCGTATCACGAATCACAGCATCAGTCAAAGCCAATGCGAGAACGATTTTCACCCTTAGGGGCGTAATGTACCCGTAGACCGCCACCTCTTCCATGGCATACAGCAATCCCAGATAGCACTCCGTCGATTTTGTGGTCGAATTCACTACGGGCACGATATTAGAGGAGCGTAGCTCACCAGTTGGTTGTCTGGCGAAACAGCTAACCGCGCTCTTCGATAACGTCGAGACTGGTATGAGCGATGTAATGGTACTTGAGATCGTCATCCTGGGTGAAAGTGCGAATCAGGATGGGATGATTCTGCGGCGATATAAACGCAACGGCATTGAGGCGAAGCTGAGGTGCCATGGTGCATGTACGCTCGTGTGCGTTGGACTTGGGAGAGATGCGCCGTGGTCCGCATGTCCATGGACCAGATCTCCTAAAGGTCCCGAGGGTAAGTCCAGCGGCTTCTCCCGAGGTCCAGGACTCTCGGGAGTTCCCGAGTGGGCTCTAAAATAAAGAGTAAAAGAAATCCTTCGAGCCGGGATCGAACCAGCGACATCAAGATCAACCGTGGGTATATCCATTACAGTCTTGCGCTCTTCCAACTGAGCTATCGAAGGTTGAAATAATGTAGAATATGAACGTTGTCATACCCTTGAATTTTGCCTGGTCACGAGATCCCATGGCAACTGTGACGCTGACCGTGCGCGTGACTCACTGTGACCAAGCACCAACAAAATACTTTACCACTTGAATATCTCTGTTCGCTAAATGTAAAATATATGACATATAAATAGCATTAAGGTTATATAATATGATTCAATTTGATAACCTAATTTTACGGCTCCTTTCAAAATTAGGTTACCAAATTAAATCAATAAGTGATTTAAATAAGCCTAACACCGAAAAAATTCCAAAGGGCGCAACAGTACTGATTCAGTGATTGATTTCGTTACCACCCACCCACCACGTGATTGCTCCGGTACCCACCCTGGTCCGGTGAGCGGTTTGGCGATCATTGGAAGCCGGACTGGTCGCTCAGGACTGCTCATTCCATCTTCTCCTAACATCTCCAGTTATAACCCCCTGCTCCCAGCCCTCACCACCCATCACGACGCACAATGTCAGACTCGCTCATCCATTCACTAGCTGGAGCAGCCGGCGGAATTGGTGCCATGACGGCTACATAGTGGGTAGCCGTGCATACCACTTGGTCCTCCCCATAACATCTCAACTCCTCAGCCCATTAATAGTCCTGTCGACCAGGGCAGCCGTAGAAACGAAGAGGGAGCACAAGGCAAGTTCCCACCTCTTCCGTTCCGAAAACTGTCCCGAGGCTCATACCGTTTCGTCCAGTCCCTGTATCAAGCCGTCCTTGACATCATCAAGAGGGAAGGGGTACTGGGTTTATACAATGGCCTGAACTCAAGTCTTATGGGTATCGCCGTGACCAATGGGTGCGTCTGTCTCCTGGTGAACCCCGGTCCATGTCTCATCCTGCCCTACAGGGCTTACTACTATTTCTATGAGCGCACTCGGGGGATCATACTGTCTGGCAGGAAAGGGAGCAAAGCCCTCAGCACCCTAGAGTCTATGCTCACCGGCCTGATTGCTGGTAAGATCGACCCAATGGCTGGTGATGTGCTGAGCTCCACATAAACCAGGTTCCGCTACCACTCTGATCAGCAATCCCATCTGGGTGGTACAGACCTCTCAAGCTATTCAAACTATGCAGAGCTCGTCGGAATCGGCACAAGGTCGACCAGCACTTCAGAAGCTGGGTACCATTCAAACCATCCAGCAAATCCTCCGCAAAGACGGACTAGGAGCGTTCTGGCGCGGTATCGGACCAGCACTAGTTTTGGTCATCAACCCCGTCATCCAATACACTGTCTTTGAGCAGCTCAAGAACTTCATCATCCGCTCTCGAACGACGAAGATGCGAGCCGCCGGAATGATTACTGCCGTTGCGGTCCTGTCGGACTGGGATTTCTTCTTCTTGGGAGCGGTATCTAAACTATGTATGCCAACCTTCTATATGCACCGTGTAACGCTGACCACGATCTCCAGTTGCCACTGCATTGACTTACCCCTACATGTATGTACTTGGTCTCTGTTCCCAGGGACGGGATTGACGCGCATACATCTACCCATCCAGTGTCGTGAAGAGCAGACTTCAATCCGGTGCCATGAAGTACAAATCATCCATCGACGGTCTTGTAACCATCTTGGAGGAAGAAGGGCTCCACGGCCTTTACAAAGGCATCGAGAGCAAGCTATTACAGAGCGTACTCACCGCCGCAATCCTGTTCGCTGGTCAGAGGCGGATTTACGAAACGATCAAGGCGGTGTGTTGGGTGTTACTACTTGGACTGCGGCTTTCTGACACCCATGATAGTCTATTGCAGGAGCTTCTCGGTGAATCTCTGGGTGCTGTTCGCCCCTTGTCCTCCTTATATCTGTTGTGCAAGTATACATCAATTAAAGACCTGTTGTTGTACCACCTTCAGTCGGCGAGTTGCAGATCCTCCTTGCTTTGACACCAAATCCCGGGACGTGCTTCCAAATCGATAAGATACCACCGATTGAACCATCACGAACGCCCTCCGGAGTCCCGCTGCAACTGTTTGAGTATCTCCTTCATTTCCTCGACATCTTTCTGTAGGCCATTGGAACTTCCACCGGCCTCCAACACCTTTGATGCGCTGTACCCGCCACCTTCTCCAGCCGTCGGCTTGCCATCATCTTGGGCAAGCCACCGATCCAATTGAGCCATGATACTGACAGCCTTCAACCTATAATGTGTGCGGATGATCTCTCGGAACGGATCGGGTGGGTTCTTGAGGTTCCCCAACATCTATGAGTCGAGATTAACGTCAACTCTACGGGCAACAGACCGGATAATCGCATACAGCTGTTTTTACAACCATCCGTCGAACGTTCGCAGAATCTATCCAATATCGTCAGCCAAACCGAGACTCGCCCGACATCCACGTACATGCATGAGACTGTGGTGTACCGGCGCTATTCGCCCAGCCAGGTTCGTTGAGGTAGGGTTCCTCGCAGAGGATCATGGACTGGATGGATATCAATACCTGCAGTCATATTTAGTACTGGTACAGCGGTCAGCGAGAAGTCGACGCGTACCTGCAACAGCGTTGACTTGCCGGAGACCCATCCTGGGCCCTGCCAGGTTCCAAGAAGAGAAAGGCACACTTTCCCATCCTTTCCACGGATCAGGGGTGGTGAGGATATGAATAAAATTTCAACTCACAGCGTATAGGTTTGGATTGAATCGGTATTTCCCTCCATTTGTCTGCAGAGCGGATAAGCCAATTCATCAATGTTAGAGACCAAGGACTAACCGTCATATACTTCACACTTGGGGGTTGCTGGTTATAGCTTGGCCCCAAGAAGATATCGAACATGTAACTGTTGAAAGACGTTCACGATTCAACGTGGTGGCCGAAATCGAACATGGCAATTTATCTCACCAGCCGTTGTGGTATCTGTAGAGATCAGTCAATTATAAACACTGCGAGCTACATCACCATCGCAAGACGTACGGAGTGCCTTCGGGTCCAGTGATGAGGGCTTTGATGATGTCTACACGAGTCTCGTCGACTCGGAGGAAGATGGAGGAATCCCATGCCACAGGGAGGTTCGTGGTGAGCACAGCAAGCTGCAGACAAATGTGAGTGAACGTGGCGTCAAGGCTGACCATATCCCACCTCCTTCGCGATCGCTAATGATCGCTTTGGGATATCAGAATTAGCCAGCATTCGAGCCTCGTTATTATAGTAGAACTTGTAATTCGGCGTTTGGTCGACTTCTGGATTGTCCTTCTGGGTTATATCTGGTACAGGAATGGTCAAATCGCAGTACTCGAAGCGCACTTGCGTGGCCCATTCCATATATGCCTTCTTGGCACTCTCCTCGGTCGCCCCGGCGTCAACGTGAACTTCTTGCGACGACGATGGGATTTTTGGGAGCGCAGCGTGGAGTCTGTGCACAAACGCGTCTCCCTTCGTTTCAGACAGAAATCGGTCTATCGCACTGGCAGTGCTGAGGATTCGGCGACAAAAGGCGAGCAACTTGGAGCTGTCGTCAGGTGGAGCAACGGCATCAATGGCTTTGGCTTTCCCTTTGCTGTCGTTGGTCAGTCGCTTGTCTTCCTCGGTCATCTCCTCTTCGTCAGAGTCGGCTACTTTCATTCCTTCGAGGCCTTTGATTGCAGCTTTCGCTTGGATAACAACCGACTCGAGGAGCTCACGAGGACCGGAGCTACCCTCGTATATGATGGTCCGTTCTCGGATATGTACGCCGCCATGAGCTGCTCTCTTTGGAGTGGCAACCTTAGTCGACACAACGACCATGATGGGCATCGCCATCATACTAGCAAGAGCTTCATGATTAGATATTGTCTGGGATCACAACATTTGAGTACGCATTTCCAGAGATGAGCTGAGCCTTACCTCCAACCAATCGAACAACTCCAGATAGAGCACTGAGCGATCCGACATATCGGTGAGAGAATCATTTTTCAATAAAGAGCTACAAATGTGGTTGAAACGCCTTCGAAGATGGGCCAATGCAGTAGGGTGGACGAGGTAGTCACTGGTTCGTCCTCCACCTAGCCGACGGAGGGATGGAAGATAAACGCGGACCGCCGTGAGCAATTGTCCAAGTTTCTCGTCCTTGAGGCGTTGTTGAGCAATTGCTTCCACTTGCCCAGTATTCTGTTACAAGTCAGCACCAAAGCGTACCCCAACTAGCAAAGCTTACGTCTTCTCGCATGTCACCAGCGTAACCAATGCCGCTCTTATTCTTCTTTCCCTTGACTGCTGAAGCATAGTATACATCATCATCGTCATCACCGTCGGGGATCGCACCGACGGTAGGTTGTGAGTCCACCTTTCTTCGCTTAGCATTCCGAACAGAGTAGTCCTGCTCGACTGGCGTATGGCGTGTTTGTTCAGAGTATAATTCTTCAATCATAGAAAGTCCGATGCCAAGGATAACGCCCTGCAAATTCGAGCAATGAAACAAGGGATCATCGTCTAGAACAGACGGTCGTTTGCTGGTTTCCGCGTTTATCGATTCACCGCAAGCAAGACAGAAGTCTTTGGAGCAGCGTTGACACGTTTGCAGGACAATCTTGCTCAATCGCGCAGTGAATTTCGCGAAGTCCAACTCCTGCTGACAGAGTTAGCGTGGGCCACAGGCAAGGGAGATGGAGACGACTCGCGGGCATGGCGAAAAAATCACTCTTCTTTCTTCGAACAGAGGCACCACATCCATGAGGGCAAGGACATTCTCCGTCGCTGAGTTGCGAATAGAGGCTGAATAGAAAGCTCTGCTCCCCACCTTCTGGGCATCCCTTCATCCACTCTCCTTGCGACATGATCTTAGCCCGGCAATTCCACTCTGGGATGAATAGTGAAATTGGTTCTTCCTCCACTTCAATAACTTCCTCGCGGCGATCCTTGGAGAAAAATATTCCTACGCAACTGTCAGAGAGACGTTTGAAGACCTGAAAGCCAACTCACCGGAGTATGGGTCGACATCGGCGGCAGCGTTTCCAGGGTCTGCTTTGAAATCATCATCTGAATCATAATCA